TGCAGCTCTGGAAGTTCTCTGTCAATATACTGCTGCAACCATTTTTGAATTATTTTCAGTAAGATCTTACTTGAGTGCGATATTAATGATATTGTTCAATAATTTCCACATTCTCTGTGATCACCTTTCTTTGGAATGGGTACAAATATGGATCTCTTCCAGTCAGGTGGCCAGGTAGCTGTCTTCCACATCTCTTGGCATAACCAAGTGAGTGCCTCCAGTGCGGCATCTGTTTGTTGAAATACCTCAATGGATATTCCGTCAATTCCTGGAGCCTTGTTCTTCGCCAATTCCTTCATTGCAGCTTCCACTTCCTCCTTCAGTACCATTGGTCCTAGATCATATGCCACCTCCTGAAATGGATGAAGATTGACCAGTTCTTTTTGGTACAGTGACTCTGTTTATTCTTTCCATCTTTTTTTGATGTTCCCTGCATCATTCAATATTTTGCCCTTAGACTCTTTCAATATTGCAACTTGAGGCTTAAATTTTTTCCTCAATTCTTTCAGCTTGAGAAATGCCGAGCGTGTTCTTCCCTTTTGGTTTTCTAACTCCAGGTCTTTGCACATTTCATTATAGTAATTGGCTTCTCAAGCTGCTCTTTGAAATCTTTGGTTCAATTCTTTTATCTTGTCATTTCTTCCATTTGCTTTAGCTACTCTCCACTCAAGGGCAAGTTTCAGAGCCTCTTCTGTCATCCATTTTTGTCTTCTTTTTTTAGTGACCTCTTGCTTTCTTCATGGATGATGCTCTTAATGTCATCCCACAATTCTTCTGATTTCTGGTCACTGGTGTACAATGCATCAAATCTATTCTTTAGATGGTCTCTAAATTCAAGAGAGATATATTCTAGATCATATTTTGGCTTTTGTGGACTTGTTTTAATTGTCTTTAACTTCAAGTTGAGCTTGCATATGAGCAAGTTGATGGTCTGTTCCACAATCAGCTCCTGGCCTGGTTTTGGCTGAAGATACTGAGCTTCTCCATCACCTCTTGCAACAGATGTAGTCAATCTGATTCCTGTGTGTTCCATCTGGTGAAGTCCACATGTACAACTGCCATTTGTGTTGCTGAAAAAAGGTGTTTGCAATGAACAAGTCATTGGTCTTACAAAATTCTGCCATGCGAGTTCCAGCATTATTTCTGTCACCAAGGCCAAATTTTCCAAGTACCGGTGATTCTTTGTTTCCAACTTTTGCATTCCAGTCATCAGTGATAATTAACACATCCTGATTGCATGTTTGGTCAATTTCAGACTGCAAGAGTTGATAAAAATCTTCAATTTCCTCTTCTTTGGCTTTGGTGGTTGGTGCATAAATTTGAATACAAGTCGTATTAACGGGTCTTCCTTGTAGGCGTATGGATATTATCCTATCACTGACAGCATTGTACTTTAGGACAGTTCTTGAAACATCCTTTGTGATGATGAATGTCACACCATTCCTCTTTAAACTGTTGTTCTCAGCATAGTAGATCATATGGCTGTCTGATTCAAAATGGCCAAAACCAGTCCACTTCAGCTCACTAATGCCTAGCATATCAATTTTTATGCATTCCATTTCATTTTTGACAACTTTGAATTTTTCTAGATTCATACTTTGTATGTTCCATGTTCCAATTATTAATGCATGTTTGTTGCTGTTTCTCCTCAATTTGAGTGGTATCACGTCAGCAAATGGAGGTCTTGAAAGCTTTACCTTATCCATATGAGTAAGGCTCATTTTACTCTGATAATGCAGCTCTTGTCCAGTCCTACTTTGAGAGCTTTCTAAACTAAGTGACTCATTTTCCTCCTCTATATTGGACAATGTTTCTGGACTATTCATGAAGTTGTGCAGTAATGTATTAGACAGTGTTTCTGTGCTATTCATAAGGTTTTCCCTGGACAATTCTTTGAGAAGTAGATGGCCTCTTCCTTCTTCCTAGTCTGTTTCAGTCTGCAAACTGGGCTGATAACTGCACCATGTGCACCCCACTGTGTTTGAAACACCAGTGGCAGAGCCTCAAGACTCACAGCAACATGTCACTACAGTAGGAGAAACCAACAGACAAGTTTGTCTCCCTTAGGCGTTGGAAACCCCTCCAACCACCCTTACCTGGATCCCTGCAGCTGACTCCTTGATCTATTCTGGTCCCCTTTGCCTTTTCTGTCCTCTCCCTGCCTTCCCACCTTGCTGCTGGTGGGGTGTGGCCTGGGTTCCCTCTCCTCACCTGGGTCCCTGTGGCTGATTTCCCCACCAGCTCTAGGCAACCACTAAAATCTACTTTTTATTTATGGATTTGCCTATTCTGGACATTTCACATAAGTGGGACCGTACAATAAGCAGTCTTTTGGGACTGGCTCCTTTTACTTGGCATAGTTTTCAGGGTTCTCCAGCAGGTGTATTTTAATGATCATTTGACAACAGCTTACCATGGCTGTGGCAACAGCAGCAGTCTTCTTTTTCTTCTCTCCTGCAGATTTCAGGCTCTTACTCTTCTTGTTCTAAAAATAGAAACAAATTAATTGCTAAAGATTTTCTTACAGAGCTAACAGGCTAGTGGAATTCCCTAAAAGGTAATTACAACAGAGTATGGGACTCTGATGGGAGCAAGTTTGGATGAACAGGGTTATCAGTGCAGCAGTTGCTGGCAGATGGAAAACATTTCATGAATGCTTTATAATTTTCAGGTATTTTTGTTGTTGTTGTTGTTGAGAGGTTTAAAATTTGTACTCTAGTACATGGAGGTTGAGGGTAGGACCAACTGAGTTATTGTACCTGGCCAGCCAAGGGACTAGTGAGGTTCAAAAGGATGGTAAAATGGGGATCATCAAGGTGGTAGCAGGAAAAAACATTTCCAAACTGCAAGTTGGCTGAAAGGGCTCCCTATGGAAGGGGAAACTTAGGAGGCTGTTCCAGGGCCCACAGAGAAATCACCAGGTGTATCTAAGAAGCAGTTTGGTTAGCTCATTAAAGCTAAAGTTCAAGAAGCTTTTAAAAGGGGCATAGGAACATTTCCCAATATTGTCGATTATCAGAGAATAAAGGATGGAGAGAGAACTAATAAAGGGAACTAAGAAGGAAAAGATAGACCTGAGTCAGGAGAGGCCGAGAACTTCCCCAGCTTGAGGTACATGAGAATTTGGAAGCTTTTACCCAAAGTAAGAAGTATATACCTTCTAGGAACAGAACATATATGCTCCAAGGACAGGTAAGGGAATAAAACATGGAGATCAGACAATGGAGAGAAACTATACCACCAGAAGGAGCTTGGGTGGTGCCATGCTTAAAGCATTGGGCTGCTAATAAGGTCAGTGGTTTGAACCCACCAGTCACTCCACAGGAGAAATATGAGGCAGTCTCTTTCCATAAAGACTTACAGCCTTGGAAACTCTACAGGGCAGTTCTACTTTGTCTCGAAGCGTTGCTGAGTTGGAAATTGACTCAATGGTAATGGGTTTTTGGTTTATACCACTCGAGCCACACAAGAGGCAGGAGGCTGCTTCCATGTGGCAGGTTCTGAAAAATAAGGAACAGTAGGGATGCCAGAGGGGCTGGTATAAATAAATTTATTTTTGGCCCCAGAAGGTGGGAAAAGGATGGTAGAGGGTGACAATCTGTTATGGGAGTGGCAGGGAAGCAGCTATAAATAGAGCTCATGTGGACAAGTGGGGAGTGAATCACAGGACGCATCCCTAAATCAATGTATCCTTAAGTCAACCTATTACCCATTCCTGCTGATACGGGTAAGACTAAAACTATGGTTTCAGCCAGAAGAGAAGTATCTTTTAAAGGTATGCAGTTTTGGGCTGAATGCTAATGGTTTTGGAGCAATGCTAATGTTTTCATTGATTCCTCTTACTGAGATACAAGGTTGTGGAAAAACTGAAAGGGTTATAAGAGAATAAGTTGCTCTCTGAAGGCCGTGGGAAATGCAATCCTGATTTCTAGGTAAGAATTGTAGCTAATAGAACCCTGGGCTCTCACCCAAGGTTGCTCAATAAGTACATCTCACAAAGAGAAAAACCTGTGGGTCAGTGGACTTGTCAGTAGGTTATTAAGGGAAACATGGATGAAGAGGGGGGAAAATGACTAGGGAATACACAAAATGGGTTTTTCTGTGAAGAGTAGGCATAATGTGGAAAAAGGAAATAGGCTATAAGTACCTGGTAATTCATGGAAGAAAATGCTTGTGGAACGGCATCAGAAACAAACCCAAAACCCTCTAACATTTTACATGTCAGAATCAAGTGTATTCTAAAGCAAAGGTCAGCAAACTACAGCCCACAGGCCAAATCTGGCCCACTATCTGTTTTTGGAAGTAAAATTTCAGTAGAATACTGACACAAGTATATTGTCTGTGACTGCTTTTGCATTACAATGCCAGAATCGAGTGAGACCATGGCCCACAAAGCCTAAAACATTTATCACTGTTATATGCTGTCAAGTCAATCCCAACTCATAGCGGCCTCATGTGACAGAACAAAACTGCCTCATAGGGTTTTCTTGGCTGTAATCTTTATGGGAGCAGATTGCCAGGTCTTTCTCCCATGGAGTTGCTGGGTGAGTTTGAACTACCAACCTTTGGGTTAACAGTCTAGCACTTAGCTGCTATACCAATAGACCTTCTAAAAAACACTAACTATCGAGATTTAAATCTCACCTCTTCCTCCTATAGTTGTCTGTTCTTGGACATTTCAATTCACCTCTCTAATCTTATTCTCATCATTTACATGGGCATAACTACTATCACAGGAGCTCTGGTAGCACAGTGCCTAAGGCACTTGACTGCTAACCAGAAGGCTGGCGGTTCAAACCCACCAGCCACTCCTCGGAAGGAAGATTGGGCAATCCTACTTCCGTAGTGATACTGCCTCCGAAACCCAAGGAGGGGTCGCTATGAGTCGGGGCCGACTCGATGGCAAATAACAGTAACAATAACTACTATCACAAAGTTGTGGATTAAGGAGGGATACATGAAAAGTGCTTAGCACAGTACCAGGCACAGGTACCAAAAACCAAACCCACTGCCAGAGTCAATTCTGATGCACAGTGGCCCCCAATGGGTTTCCAAGGTGGTAAATCTTTACAGAAATAGATTGCCCTGTCTTCCTTCTGTGGAGTGGCTGGTGGGTGTGAACCGCCAGCCTTCTGGTTAGCAGTCAAATGTCTTAGGCACTGTGCTACCAGAGCTCCTTAGGTACAAGGTACGGTTTTCTTAAATGTAAGCTGCTCCTAATAAAATGAATAGACAAAGTAGCTTGCAGATGATAAAAACAGTAGTAAACATGGTCTTACAGCAGTGTTTCCCCACCTGTATTCTATGGAATACTATTCTGCCAAATAACAACTGTCAATAAAAAAAGGTCTTGAATAGGTTTGAAAATGACTGTTGAACATATTAATTATGGTTGGACTTCTAAGCATATTTAATACACTAATGGGCATAATGAAAATACAGTATTTCTCACAGAATCTTTTTTTTTTTTTTGAGGACTGTCTCAGTTAATAAGGAACTGTGGTAGAGTAGTGGTTAAGGCATTTGGCTGCTAAGCAGAAGGCTGGCTATTCAAACCCCACAGGTGCTCCACAGAAGATTGGCCAGTCTGCTTCTGTGAAGATTTACAGCCTTGGAAACTGAATGGGGTTTGCTATAGTTGGATTCAACTCGATGGCAGTGAGTTTTTGGTATCTCAGCTTATCAAGGATACTTTATGAAATGTGACGGTGATAGTTGGAGCTGTGTCAACTTGGGTGGACCACAATTCTGTGTGGTTTAAGCAGTTGTGATGTGGGTTATTCCCATGATGGGATCGGATGTATATGTTTTGAGCAGCCAATCCTTTGAAAGGGAGTTTCTCTAGGGGTGTGACCTGCTTCCAACGTATTTATGGACATCCTGGGAAAAGAGACACTCCTCTGTGGATCGGGATCCTGTTGTGCTGCCTACAACTGGCCATGAGTGAACAATCTACCATTCGGGCTGGAAATCTTGGATTTGTCATTCGTTGGAGTCAACAGCTGGTACTGCCTGCCAACCTTGAGCTCCTTAGCCCCTGCAGCTGCATGAGTCTGGAAAAGCCTCCAGCTTGATGTTTGATCCAAGAACTTTGGACTTGCCAGCTTCTATAAGTGTGTGAACCATTTTCCCAAGATAAATTTCTCTTTCTCTGTATGTATATATAAGCTTTACTGGTTTTGCTTCTCTAGAGAACCCAGCCTAACATATTTGGTACTGGGAGTGGTTCTAGAGAGAGAAAATCATAAGCATGGGATTCCTAAATCAGTTCTCACCAATTCTGTTTTGATTCTCCAATTCTGTTAATCATAAAGGCACTGGTGACCCTGCCTCTGTTAGTAAAGAGGGCCCTGCTAATCCGTGGCGTGAGGTGGCAACATTAATATGCAAAATAGTACACCAATAGATCAAGTACTTTAAGTGAGGCTCTGGGTGATCACATATTTGATACTTTTCTGCAATTCTGTCAGCATGAGGAGTATAAGGAAGCTGGTTGGTTGGTCCTACTTATGCTAGACAAAGTGGTGAAAGAGCGAGATGAGTTTAGGGCTGCTGAATCACAGCTCAAAAGCCGCATAAAAGACCTCAATGTTTCCAGTTGTTCTCTGAAAGAAAGCCTTATTTCTTCTAGTAACAGAGCTGATATTGCTGAAAACCAAACCCAGAGTCTTATTGTAAGGGTGGCTGGATTACAATGCCAATTAAATTACCAACCCAGAATGGTGTCTGAAGTTAAAGTGAGGGCATTGATTGGAAAAGATGGGATCCTGAAACCTGGAATGGGGACATATGGGCAGATAGTCAAGAAGTTCAGGATATGCAGTCTGTAAATTCTGTTGAATATCTGCCATCTGAAGGGATTACTATAAAATCGTCATCCCTTCTGCCTCAGTTTGATGGGATTAACCCAAATGTTCCTGTTGGGTCATTGCCTGAGGCAGAGGCCATGGAAGACATTCCTGAATGTTTTCAGGAACCGCCTCAACCACCCATTGTTGCTGCTAGACCTATAACTAAAGTTCAAGCAAGCCCCAAAAGGTGAAACACAAAGTGTGACTGAGGAGGTGGTATGCTACACCCAAATAGACCTACTTGATTTTGCTAACATGTACAGACAGAAACCTGGAGAATACGTATGAGAATGGCTACTGAAGGTGTGGGATTATGGTGCAAGGAATGTAAGATTGGATCAGTCTAAGTTTATTGATTTAGGACCACTAAGTATGGATTCTTCATTCAATGTCTCAGCTCGAGACATTAGGAAAGGATCTAATTGTTTATTTGGTTGGCTTACTGAAGCATGGATTATGCAGTGGCTTACCTTAAGTTGAAGTACCAGACCTGCCTTGGTATAATGTAGAAGGTATCCAGAGGCTTAGGGAAATTGGCCTCTTATAATGGATTTATCAGATTAGACCCCTAGAGCCAGAAATGGAGAATCCAGAGGACACACCTTTCACCAGTATGGTTTGGAAAATATTTGTG